CTCTCTCTCTCTCTCTCTCTCTCTCTCTCTCTCTCTCTCTCTCTCTCTCTCTCTGTGTGTGTGTGTGTGTGAGTGTGTGTGTGTGTCTGTGTGTGTGTGTGTGGAGGGGGGAGAGGGAGAGAAAGAGAGAGAGGCACCACGTGTGTGCCAGCTCCCCTGGAACTGGAGTTATAGGTGGTTGTGAACTGCCCAGTGTAAGTGCTGGGAACCAAACCTGGGTCCTCTGTGGGGCAGAAAGACCCTTTAAGCATTGAGCTGTCTCTCCAGCCCCATATTCTGCATATATTTTGGATACTACTGTGAGTTTGTTTTACACAACATTTTCCCTACTTTGTGCCTTGTCTTTTTATGATGGTTTTGATACATTAATATTTTAATTTTAATACATTCAAATGTATGGGTATTTTTCTTACGGCTAGCTTGCTGAGCATCTCATTTAAAAATTATTCTTTTATTGGGTGTGTTGCTCGATGATAGCTTGCTTGCCTAGCAGTCGCAGGACCCCGGGTTCACTCCCCAGAACCACCAAAAACAACACAAACAAAACTTCTAGGTAGAAAATAATAAACAGAGTCTTTCTTGTTATCCACTTTATATTGTTACTTTGCCCATTCAGTGTGGAATGGTCTTCTTGCCTCTGGCAACGTGGGGAGTGGGGAACGTCTTTGTTTCTCTGAATGGCAGCCAGCCGTGCAGGCACTGTTCACTGAAAGCCGCGTCCCCACTGTTGTGCACTAGGAATCCGCGTGTGTTTCGTTGTCTCTGGGCTGCTTAGCATAGGTTTCTCTGTGCTGATCGGCACTTTCTCCTTACTCTATTAGTTTCTGTATCTAATACACAGATTCTGGATACAGTGTAGCACTCCTTTGCCCCTGTCCTCTGGGAGCTATGATTCTTGGTTCCTTGTTCTTCATGTATATTTTATCAGGTTGTCAAAAGCCATTCAAAAAACACTGAAAATTTGATTAAACATTACTGAATCTGTAAGCTGCTTTGGAAGAATCTGTATCATTACAAATGGGGGCTTCCGATGCAAAAACATACTATATCTCTACTTATTTTCCATGTCTTAATAAAAGTTTGTACGCATCAAAGGGATCTTGCTATATGTGTTTTTAGGTACCTCATGCATTTTGATGATATAGCCAATTTGCATGTATGTGTGCATGTATACGTGTGTGTTCAGTGCATGTGACACTAGGGGTTCAGGACAAGATCTGTGTATGGTAGGCACACCCTCTACATGCCCATATATTCCTAGCTCTGAGTTTTTGAGACAGGGTCTCACTATATAGCCTGGACTGGCTCAGCATTCTGACTCTTTTTGATTCGGCATCTTAAGTTCTGGGAATTGTAAATGGACATCACCATGCCTAGCACAAGTTAGGTCTTAAAATTTTTAT